TAATTAAAATTTTGGGACATTGCTTGGGGTGTGTTTGGTTAGAGGGTGCTGCAATAACACATATAGTTGTATCTATAAGTAGTTGCGACTCAAGTTATCGCATTCACATGTAATTGCAACTCAAATATTGTTGCAATACTCTAAATTTTGAGTGTGAATGCAACACCCTCATTTTTAGCATATATGAATGTTGCAACAACATTTTTGAGTTGCAGCTACATCCAACCAAACACTCATAAATGTTGTTGGAAGAACATATGGTTCCAATTACATCAATCCAAACACATAAATGATGTTATAACTATATTTGTAAACCAATTTGATAAATTAATTTAGATATAATTAATAAATAAAGATTATATTTTACGAAGGTGTCATGTCAATAATTATCTCACATGGATTACCAAATCAAATATTCAAATTGTCTCATTATCCCAATTTATCTTACTTTACAGTCTTTACTCCACTTAAAACATCTCAAAGGAATAAAGTTATCGTCTTGAGAACAATTGTTTCTGACCCCACTTGTCCCAACCAATAATCCCCCCCCCCACCCCCCCACCCCACACCCCACACACACACAAAAAAAAAAGAAAAGAAAAAAGAAAAAAGAAAAAAAGGAAAGAAAAGAAAAAGAGAAGGATTACACGTTCTTCTACTGAACTGAACCAGTATGTTTCTGTTCCGAATCATATGGCAAGAGCTTATGAACAAGTATGTTTCTGTTCCGAATCATATGGTAGGGGCTTATGAATCGTATTAAGAAGAATGGTGTATTAATTAAGATTCTTATGAACAAACAAAAAAAAATAGTGCCGAGATCACTACTATACCACAATTTTTGATTTGTTTATTGAATGGTTAGGATTTGTTTATTAGCGGGGTTCTAATGACTACCAGATTTTGAATAAATCATAACCAACCACAAGATAAATTAATGGCTAATCGGTATAGTGGTCTCTCTCTTATTTTTTTCGTAATGGAAAGGATCCAAATTCATGAACAAAATTATAATGCAGATAAATGTTTGAGCTTGCTATTAGTCCCTCAAGTTTGGATGGCATTCAGGCCCTATTATTTGGTTGTATTTAAATCTTGCACTTCACATACAACTTAAACAATGCGAACTGTAGTGCTTATTTTGTTGTGTTTCACACTCTAAATCTGCAAGCAAACAGCATACTTGTAGCACTTATTTTGCTTCTTTCACAGGTTGAGCGTCTTTTTAACAGGCCGAAACATAAACATGGACTCAAGCAACTATATCAATTTTAAAAATTTTGCTTTAAATTCATGGCCAATTGAATTCGAACAAATCTGAGTTGCTCTAATACCATCTTAAATTAAGTCTCTTTAAGCATTACACTGAAACTTCAAAGTTATGACGAGGATTGATGGTTTTCTTTTCATATTTGAACAATTCAAAAGGAAATAGTTCATAAATTTGCAGCCTATCTTGATCCATGAACTGCTAAGTTCTGGATGGTATATGGACAAAATAAATGGCCAGGCAGTGATTCACTACATGAATTTATTTTCATTTCGCAGAATCATTGTTTTTGCTGTATTAACATATAAATTACAACAGCACTTTGAATGAAGAAAAGGGCAGTTTTCCCTCATTTTATCACTGAAAATAGGATTATTGCTGCTATGATTAAATCCTCCCCCAGAAACCAAAGAAAGTTGCACAAGCAACTGCAGAATGTATAGAGATAGATAAACTACTCTAATTTTTGTTTCCAAAACGCCACCAGCTTTTCTTCTTAGATTCTGAGGTTGGCATATCTGAAGGAACAAAATGAATAAACAAAAAAAGGACATATAAAACGAAAACATCCTAAAACTCAAGAGTTAAAAGAGAAGAATAGACGAGACATGAGACTAACTGAACTTGCCTCCTTCAGGGTATATTGAGTTGTAGTGCACCTCAGCCCAAAAGCTCAAGAAAATAACTGCATTTATGCAAGAAGAAACCGGATATGGATGTATCCATAAAACTTGAATTATAATTGGTAGAAGCCGTAAGAAAGCTACCTCGCTTGGACCTCTGATCACTAGGCAGAATCTCAATGTAACAAGTATCCTTGAAAGATGTAATGACAAACATTTTGACACCATACTGCACAAGATCAAGGATGAAATGCGTCAGAAACTCTGTAGTTGTTACAGTTAAGGGCTGTTTTTTTGCCAGTATTTTCGCGGAATCCCTGCAAATTATGCTGGAAAACGAGTCCCCCATGATAAAGTCATGTCAGAGAAAATCAGTGAAACAATTCTGATGTTTGTTTCACATATTTGAGACTGGGATTACTTCGCACAATGTCGTCATAGCTTATGCGTAGAATATCCAACCGAGAAAGGGAATAAGATACATAAAGAATAGGGTAAATTTCACAAAACCCCCAAGAAGTTTGGCCCATTTATGAGATAACCCCCAAAACTTAGGGGTTCACCTGAAAATAGATTCAGAAAAATGCAAAAGTTTTGGGGGTTAGTATCATTTCAAAACTTATTGGGTATTACTTCAAATGGGCCAAGCTTCTCTGGGGGTTTTAACTCTAAAGAATAAGTAGTATCTTAGCATACAGAGTCAGCAGCAGCCTGTAGTGTAACATGGTCACCCCATTCTCCACTCCTGTTTTATAATGATAAACATATAAACGGCAGAAACAAATTAGCAAAATCCTCAAAGCTCTGTTACGTATGAAAACCTTGTGCAGGAGAAAAGAGACCATACGTAGATAGCTTTTTCAAATAGTCGGTGTAAGCCATCGGGACATATGCCTCATAGTTTTCTGGATGGGATTTAAGCTGAGAGAGTGCAAAAGAAAGTTAGCCTCAAAAGAATTATGAACATCAAACCGAATCGAAATGAAGCAAGTTAATATAGCTGTTGGCAATGATGGACAGACCTGAGTGATGACTTGCTGTCGTACAAACTTGTGGTGTTCAGGAGTGCGGTAAAATTGATCAGATAGAGCTCGAAACTGAACCAATATGCAAGAAACAATTAAGATCAGTTAACAAGAGGGAAATGTCAAAATAGTTGAAAAAAGAAGATTCTGGAGCACTTCAGGTTAGACATTTTTGATATAGGACCAAGAAGTAATGCATAAGGCAATTGCGCTGGACATATTAGCTCAAGCCAAGGAGTTTTAACATGAGTGTGTTTAAAATAACTGATGTGATAATAATATCCTCAAGCAGCATTTAGAAACCTAAGATGCACAGTTTTTCGAGGGCAAGGTTTTCTTTTATCTTGTCATGTGTAGGTGTATTAAAATGGTTAAGATTGTCTACATATTTTGAACCAATATAAGAATGATTTGATAACAATATTCTCAACCCACATTTTAAGAACAAAATATTTGGCTTTGCATTTGCCAACCAATTACATCACCTCATTGTCAAAGCAGTACTAAAAGGACTGTTTAAACTTCAACTAAACAAAAACCACTGCAACAAACCTGACAATTACCATCTCCTTGAACCTTACGCTCGACCAGGTTGTACAACTGCAATCTACAGGCAAGAAGCAATCTCAGAAGCAAAATGTAGAAATTATAAAAGAGATTAATAACTTCACATTAAGTAAGTTGTCCAGTAAATGTCATGCATCAGTGTCATGATTAACATAAAGAGTTATATAGTTGTGATTTATAGACAGAGACATAAGTGTTCTATGCTAGAGCAAACTGAAGTTTCAGACATGGCAACATAGTTCGTGTGTGGGTGCATACATGCATGTTATTTTTGTAATGTTTAATTCGTTATAACATCATCTTAAAATGAGGTGTGGAACATGCATTTTATTCACATTCTGAAGAAATTAATATATCCCGAAGTTCCCTATATAGTATATCTCATATTAGACGATTCAATCACTTGGGTGTTGCAAACTTCCCTCATTCTTCATTTTAGGGTATGGCATCCTCCTCATACTAAAACTTCATCAGAAGATGCGGGATTATAAAGGTGACCTATATGGATTTTAGGTTTAAAACCATATGCATTAATATAGGGTACCCATCACAAAGGCACAAAATTAGCCCAAATACATGATGAAAATCCTGCAATAAAAATAATTGATCAATAAATGATAGATACATCTGCCTTTTCCTAATCTTGCAGGTAAAGCTTATGAAGCTAACCCACCCTTCAAATTCCTACAGAATGTCCTATAGAAGTAATCTTCCAAAATCATGTCAAAGGTGTTTAGATGATATACAAAATATGTGCTTCTTCTGCTTAACATGAATATCTCAAATTAATATTAAAGATGAATATATGAAGTAATAATACCTGTCAAGAAGCCTCTGATGATCTGATGTGGCTTCATCAAAGGAAGGAATTTCTCCATTAATTCTTGGAACATGCTGCAGAGACCATGCGACAATTAATAAATGACACACTAACTTGAAAGGAAATTCTTTTAAAGCACAAGAAACAAATTAATAATAATAATAATGTGCAACATTAATAGCAACAATATAACAGCAGAAGAATTTTGTATGAAGGTAACATATATTAAATATCTCAGATATTTCTCTCCAAAAATAGTAAATAGGTTGCGTACGCATATCCAATATGATAAATATGCATAATATGCAGAGCTATAAATAAAAATATTTCCAGCAGAAGTAAAATCAAAGCAACATGATCAGAGAAGTTAACAAATTCAAATGTTCAATACTAAATATAATAACCATGAAATCAAATTAGTCAACTCATATCGAGAAAATATGAAAGAAAAATAAAATACAGAAGTACTTGAAGACACAAAGGATGAGATACATGTAACCATCTGTTGGTGGTAACTATAGATGGTGTACTGAAGACTAGAAGTTTCTTTATCCACATGGCTCTGAAATCATTCTAACCATTCGTATTTTGAGAAAAGGCATGATCCTTAACTTATGACAGTTAAGAAACCGACACTTACGAAGTTAGGGAGGGAGGTCATTCATATTTCATGATAGAAGCTACTGACGAAAATAGACAGAGGAATAACAGGAAAAGAGGAAATACTAATTGAAAGCTTAGATTTAATGTTAATAATCGAAGCACTTTCAGAAAAATAAAAATAATACTTTGACTCACAGGAACAGGGACCATCTGATTAAATTTGTTGCCGACTTCACCATCCAGTGTAAAAGAGTCATCATAAGGCTCTAACTCCTCCCAGTCATATAATACTTCACCTGGAGTTGAACACGAACTTAAAGACTCCACATCATCTACTACTTCCTGAATATCCTCATTCACTTGGAAAAAGGAACAATCGTATGATATCAGTAAAGGAGCAGTAGCAGGGATTAGGTATGTCCAGTTATCTAGAAGTACCTGAATAGAAATCTCTCATTGTTGGAATGAACCAGTCCTGTGTAAGAACAGATTCTTGAGTATGTTCTTCACCTTCGTTTGAAGGACTGGTAGCTTCTGCAACAGCAACTTGCGAGAATTCTTCCTGAAGAGAATGTGCTATAATCTCATCATTCTCTACAAAAATACTGTCTGCACCAAAATTACCTTCTCCTGTATAGCCCACACCATAAACGAGGGGATCATTTTGAGTATTCGAGCCACAGTAAGAAGAATCAGAAAATGGTTCGACATTAAGAATGTCGAGACCCCAGCGAAGTATCTCAGGATCTTGATAGTACATAATCATCAGCTTATGGAAAACCTTCTAGAAAAATGTCCCAGCAAAACAATAGTACCTGAAACAGCTGCAACATACTTAACTAATGAGGCCGTTGTAAATTTTAGACAAGAACATACACATCAATTTAGCTCAGAGATTTTATGACCACCTAATTATTTCCTAACAAGGTTAAAGAAGCCAAAAAATGCAGCCTTGAAAGTGCTAACAAACATCCTAGTACTCAGATAATCAACTCAAGGAAAATTTAGTATTCGGGACTTGGGATAGATTTAAATTCTGCACCTCTCTTCTCCAGAGCAACTAACATGATCGAAAATAAGAAGAGAGGCATAGGAAGCATTTAATTGTAATAAAAGAGGTCACTACGACACATTTGTTACCGACAGGTTCAACATTTAGCTCTAAATTATATATGATATTTTGCCTTTTTTTCTTAGAATCCACCTTATAATTAGGGTTAATTTACATAAACCATATTATATTTTCAATTTATATCTAAACCACCCACAAAGTTAGTTTTTCTTCCAATCGACCAGCTCCCTACGTTGCTACTAAAATTTTCCTGAAATCCTAACAATAACCTCACTTAACTTAATCTCGCGTATAAAGCACATGACCCTTCTTGTTGATGCTCTGCAAGCAAAGTGAAATCAAGTAGTTGATTGGAAGGAAAACTAACTTTGTAGGTGGTTTAGGTATAAATTAGAAGTAATTTGGATGTGTTTGGCAATCTGTTAAAAACTGGGTCATTCATTATAAACTGGTTTTGGTTTGGACCATGGGCACTGGTCCAAACTAAATCCAGTTTAAGGAGCTCTTTCGGCCTACAAAAAACTTGGGACAGCTTTGGCCCAAGTTTTTGCCAAACAAAAACGCATCTAAAAGTGGGCCGGTTTCAGTCCTCACCCAGCTTTAACAGATTGCCAAACAGGCTCTAAGGTGATTCACGTTCATCCTAAATATATGGTGGTTTCCATGAAAAAAACCCCCCCTGATATTATTATATTTATCTTTTTTTTTTCAAACAGGATGAATATTCTAGATCTAAATGGAAAATTCGCAATTAAAAACTGTGATTGCAAGTTACCACTATACTAATAGAGAATCAGAAATCGAGTGACTTTTCAGAGAATAAAAATTGTTTAGCAGATTTGTGATCACAAAGATGTTAATCCAAACAAATCTCCAGTAAAAAAAAAAAAAAAACGCCACAATGTTTTCCGTTGTGCACGGATGATCTGCAGTCTGCAGGTCAGATTTCATGGAATCGTAAATAGAAACTGATCAAGAAATAAAGGTTTACAAAGCAATCAAGAAGCAGCTAATCGTAATTAAAAGCTCGTTAGCCAAAGTTTACCGTCTGAAACTCGAGATCAAGATGGAAGCAGCTAATCGTAATTAAATGTCAATCTCCAATTAAAGAAATTGAGGATTTGAGAACTTACTTGGGTTTGAAGCAATCGAGAGAGAGAGAGAGGAAAAAAAAAATCAGTTGGAATTTCCAGAAAGTATCGCTTTCTGCGGTAGAAAAAGAGAGAGCGGCTTCGAGTGGCCACACACAGAGAGACAGAGAGACGAGAAGAGATGGAGGAATTCTCGCGGACGTCACGGGATGAATAGATTACTTACACCCCCACCCGTTCACCCGCTCACTGACAAGTGGGTCCCACGACCCTATTGGAGGGGAAGGTCCTCAGATCTCCGGCTCTGTCCTCTTGGCAGCGGGCCGTTTGCCTTGATTACCGTCGAATGGATGAATCTGGACCGTCCTTTCAGATGCAGAGGCGTACAGCAAAGATGAGAGAAGAACTCTTAAATCAGTACATAAAAAAAATTTAATTAATATACTGATTTTGGAATCTTTCACTTTTAGAAATACGAGTGTACGTGATGAGCTAAAGAATATTAACTCTTACGAGTAGTGAATGTATACAAAATATGACGCCATCCAAAGTTAGTGAAGAACTGGTATTATTTTGATACAATCTTACTTCCTTCCTCGAAGAGAATGTATACAAAATAGGACAAATTTTCAAAACCAACCCATTTGATAAACTGTTCCCAAAAAAAGTCTCATTTCAGTTTTATTTGCAAAAACCGACCTGGTTTCAGCCTCAGCGCTGAAACCAGGTCGGTTTTTGAAAAAAAGTTTCCGAAACTTCACGGGAGTTCAACTCCCGTGAAGTTTTGTTATGAGAAAAAACTTCACGGGAGTTGAACTCCCGTGAAGTTTCGTAAAGTTTTTTAGAAAAACCGACCTGGTTTCAGCGACAGTGCTGAAACCAGGTCGGTTTCTCTAAATAAATCTGAAACGGGTCGTTTTTTACAATTAGTTTATCAAATGGGTTGGTTTTGAAAATTTGTCCATACAAAATACGACGCGATCCAAAATAGTAAATTCAAAATGACAAAAGGGAAAGTTTATGACAACAATATTGTAAACAATGAACATTGAATTATGGGAAATCAAATCATCACGTGATAAGGTGTTAAGATTGGTAGTGTGGAGCTTCGGTTGTTTTAGGAGTCAAAGTCCAATTCAAGTCTCAGATTTTTTGTCTTCTTGTTTTTTTTTATTTTTATAAGTAGACTGGGGAGCCCGACATGAGATTTAGGCTAGAATTTTGACCAGCGCATGATGGACTTGACGGGAGAATCTTTTGGAGAAGGGAGATCCACAGGTTAGTGATGAACAATGCTTTTCACAAGTGAGTTTGTTCTTTCTTTGACTGGTAAATTGGCTTTGTCTAGAATTTTGGATCCACGATTTGTTTAAAATAAGCCTCTTGTTTTCTTAACTAGGCGTATGAGGATCGCATGAGGGAACTCATACGTGTAGTTTAAAATTATGGTCATCTTGCTTAGAAAACAGTAAGGGCCCGTTTGGATCGGGTATTTTGAAGAGAAAAGGAGGGGAAAGCTGCCAATTTATCAGTTTTTTTGGCAGCATTCCCTCAAAATCGCCTCTTATAGAGACGATTTTGGGGGAAAGCTGCAAAAAAACTGACAAATTAAGAGACGATTTTAAAGGAAAGCTAAGCTGCCAAAAAGCTAACAAATTGATAGCTTTCTCCCTCCTTTCCCCTTTAAAATACCCGATCCAAACAGCCCCTAAAGAGGATATCAGATTACTCAGTTCAATATGTCAAAATAAAACTATAAGGATAATATGTCAAAAACCGTGTACGAAAGGGGTTTATGTGCAATTATGAGAAAAAGTCGGTGCGCTTCTGTGCTGGTCGGTGTGTCACTTCCGGCTCCTTCACTAGATTTCTATCCAACTTGTACTTTGCAGTTCAAGAGGGGAAAATTTTGAGAAGCCTGGTTTAGAAATTTTGCCTCTGATGAACGACAACATCCAAGGAAATAATGCAACATCACATGCAATGTTGTGGAGGACGCCAAAAATCAAGGCTGTGCTCGTTAAACAAATTCACAAATCAAAGACAGAGGCTAAGCTAACCCTTTTTCTTTTGGGAGAATTTCACTTGTCTAGTTTTCTCCGTATCTTGTTCTGTCAGTTCACTGATTGAACTTAACTCTCAATCTTTTACCATTATTGTCAAAAATCCCGGTAAAAACCCGAAAAATGCAACAAATGAATCTGCTTCCTTTCTCTTTGAAACAAACAAAGTTCATATGCAACTGCAATTCGAAAGAACAGCTTTACACTTAGTTATTATCACTCATACGAACAAAATGAATATACAACATTAAGTGAGCACAACCATTTCTTTCTTTCTAGTACAAGAAATTTCATATTTCTGATCGTTAATACACAAAAAGGAACTTTTCTAACCGAAACATCCCTTCATCTCTGCTAGCTGCAAGTCTTTATGAGCTTTGGAGTCCAACCTCGCCAAACCAACTTTCTTCCATCGATTTTCAAATCCCCAATTCTTCGCTTCAAATCCAATCCCCTCTTCTTTCCTTCTTCATTATTCGCTTCTTGAGTTTGATTAGGATTGATCAATGGCGGCTGAGGAGACCCAAGCTCTGCGCTCTCAACAAGCTTATGAACCATTTCCAACACTTCACTCATCTTAGGCCTAGACCTTGGTCGTCCTACTAAACATCTATTTGCTATAGTAGAAAGTTTTGACGCGGATTTTAGAGCCTGGCGTGCATCTAGCCTTGGATCTAAGATCATACGAAACTTTTTGATGTCGGATATGTAGGGTTTCACCCATTCTAACAGCTTTTGTTCACCTCTTGGTCGGTTTCTATCTATTGGAGTACGTCCTGTGATGAGCTCGTAGAGGACTACGCCGTAGCTCCATATATCGCTCTTGGCATTGAGGTGGCCTGTTTGCATGTATTCAGGAGCAGCGTATCCGATAGTCCCCACTACCTGTTTAAATTAGCAGCCGCCAGAATTACGAGAAGAGTAAAATCATCTCTATTAACAAAACATAGATCCAAAATCGTCATCATCTACTCTTTTCTTCTGTTTTTGATCGAATTATAAAATCTTATTGTATTCATCTCATCTCTTTGAAAACTTAGACCCCGTGTAGTGTCATTCTTTGAAACTTATTACCTCTATAGTTTAATTTTGGCCGATAGACCCCCTAGATGTTCTTTTTGGGGGGTTGGATTCTTATACCCTGCGCGTAAAGAGTCGCTGAAGGTAAAAGAGTCAAGAAAATTCATCTATGAGGTCTATCCGTCAAATCAGATTTAGAAATAAAAAGTTGCAAAGGGGTCCATATGCAATTAAATTATGATAGCAAGTTAAGTCACAGTAACTTCCAAGCACAATTATGCTTTCCATATCAAACTAAATATCCTGACATGAGAGACTGCCATTTTGCTTTAAAATATACTATTGTTAAGAATTACTACAAAACTTCCAATTAAAAATGCCTTTCGAATGTTTAATTACCAACAAACTGTATTTGCATGACCTTTACTTCCTTAGGGTGATGTTTCCAAATAGATCAGTGAGGAAATAGGTCAAATAGTTACACACTTTAGCCCTACACTAATCTATAGCCAAGGAACATAAATTTGTTTTATTCTGGCATTTCTTCCAAAAACATGGAATGGTTTTAATCCAAATACTCGACTGTAAGTATATGAAATGTTGAAATGTAAAGATGATATCTATAATCATTTTTGGGGACATACTGCTGTTGAGACGTGAGATAATCCTTCCTCTGGTCCTTGCCTGGCCAAACCAAAGTCTGATAGTTTTGCATTCCACTGCTCATCCAACAGAATGTTGGATGTCTTGAAATCTCGAAAGATAATCTGAGAACATATTTAAAGGTCACTATTAAAAGTTACAAGTCATCGCGTAAGCTTTTTGAAACAATCGTAGTCTTGATAGGGACATGTCTAATCATAAAATCATAATAGTACTACCTCTTTGTTAACATAGATGGGTAGTTAAATCCTATGCTACCTCTTTTGCAAGATTCTTTCTCTACTCCATAAAGCTAATGAAAAAATTACACAAAAGTTAATCATAGGTAATGAAAGCTCATGTTGTTTCATCAAAAATTAACTTGCCAGGCAGCAACTTTTTACTGATGAGTAATAGCTTAAAAACTAAAGCACCCGTTTGAATGATAGGGAGAGTTTTTGTTCTCAATAAAAAAAAGTTAATAATAATAATGACAGTTAACTGGGGAGAGACCCCCTGCACTATCGTCCAATTGAGGGTAGACCCCCCTGTAGCTCTATTGTTGCAGAGACCCCTTGAGTGAAATACTTTTCGACTCTTTTCTCCTCGGGAGATTTATTTTGCCAAAAAACAAATTTCTGTTTCTATTGAGGGTAAAAGAGTAAAAAGAATTTCACTCAAAGGTCTATCAGCAACAATAAAACTACAAGGAGTCCATTCGGAATTGGGCAATAGTAGAGGGGATCTCCCCATAATTAACCCTAATAAGAAAGATGCAGAGGGTACCTAGTTTTGAAAATAGAACTATTAAATAAAAAGAAGATACTTACTTGAAACTCCATCTCTTCGTGCAAGTAGGTCAAACCCCGAGCAGCATCAAGAGCTACTCTCAACCTCATCGGCCATGAAAGGGTTGTAGTCGATCTACGCGACAAATGATCCAGTACACTTCTATTAGGCATGTATTCATACACAAGAAGTCTCTGAATTCCTCTTTCATCATCGTCAGCGCAATAACCCACTAATTTGACAAGATTTGGATGATCAACAATCCCAAGAACATTCACTTCTGTTAACCATTCTTTATGTCCCTGAAAGAATATATGATAATATAAACCAATTAGGGACACTAATTGTTGGAAAGACTAGCAAAGCTACATTATCATATACAAGCAAAGACCCCATAGTGCATAATTTGTTCTATCATTTATTCACAATATTTGTAAAACTTTTTCTATTTTCGATCGCTGAAGCTTTCTTATGCCATGAAGAGATACTAACAAAACATCTTCAAAGAAGTAACTTATCTCCATGAATATTAAAAGGCTCTGACTCACTAGTCACTACCCTTAATATCTATTCTCTACTATTGCCCAATTGTCCCCCTGCAGTTCTATTGTTGTGGATGGACCCCCAGTAAAATCGCCCAATTGCGGATAAACTCTGTAAGTGAAAATATTTCGCTTATTTACCGCTCAGGAGGTCTATTTGTAAAAAAAAAAAAAATCACTTTTTCTAAGGGTAAAAGAGTAACAATTTTACTCAGGGGTCTATCTGCAACAAGGGAACTACAAGGGGTTTATCCGCAATGGGGGTGATATTACACAGGGTCTATCCGCAGTAAGGTTCCATAAAGGAAGAAATCTCAAAGTTTTGCTTTACATGGTTCTACAAGATATTCCTTTAATCAGCAAGAAGTATTGAAATATCATATAAAACATTAGAACTATACACGAAAAATTGAAGCAAACTACTATTGGTAAAGGCAAACTCACCTGAAGTCCTTTGCGGTTCAATTGCTTAACGGCAATCTCAACCTTTGTATCTGGATCTTCGTTACTCCTGATTGTACCCCTATACACACAACCAAATCCACCCTCACCGACCATCAACGAACGACCAAAATTCTTCGTAGCAACCCTCAACTCTGAAAAGGTGAAGACCCGGAGATTGCTCGGCCTCTGAGAGAAGCTAGGATACTGACACTTCCCAATAGACTCAGCGCTCAAATCGGAAACGTTCTGAGAGTTGAATTCTGACCCTGATCTCCTCATATCACGATCGGTCGACGCTGTGCTATTAGATCTCGCAGACCCTGATTTCATACTATGGGGTTCTTCTTTCTTCTCACCATTTGAAAACTGAAAGCACTTCATCGCTCCTCTCTGAAAGAAATCTATAGAGGATGAGGCCATAGAAAGAATAGAGACCGTCAAAATTTTCGAAGTCGCAATTTTCAAATGACTCAAATTACCTTCCTATGGCTAACAAACTGAATTTGTCTCCCTCAAAATTCCTACAAGATTGGAAAACCAAAATAGGTAAGCTCTTAGGTTGCTTCTAGAAAATCCATGACTTCCATAAATAAAGTAGTTTCTACACGTTAATAAACATAAAGTCTATTATTCAAGTAAAAAAATTGAGTAGAGAGAAAGGTGATGTAATTATGCAAACAAACATTATTTATTGAATCTTAGACGCAGTCCTAGTCAATTACCTCCAAAGGAAGTTTTGCACTTATTTTTTTAGGAGGGAAATGACCCAATCGAATCATTCAAGTAAATTTTATTCCATAATGAAATTTAATGACTTAGTATAGAGCAAATCTACAATATAAAAAGCACCGGGCATGAAAATACATCATGAGAATAATTCAATCTAGATGATGCAAAAGAAAAGGAAAAGCTCAGTTCATAGCTCTGATCTAATATAATTCTCGGTATGCTACAATATAGAAACCAACATTTATGAAATAGGATCATGAGAAAATTTCAATTTGCAGAAGATGAAGTAACACAAAAGCTCGGTCTTTGAAGAAATTCAGGCTTGGATCTAACTATGAGGCTATTTCCCGCAAAACCCACAAATACTTTCCAATCAATTTGAAGAACAAGGCTGAAAATTTCCTCAAATTCCCAAATATAAGCCCATAAAACCGCAGTGTGATAATAAAAAAAAAAAACCCCACCTTTCTGAAGGGGACACGCAATCCTCTCACAAAAGAGAAAATTCACCTCACCGACTAACTTATTTGTCAATTTGCAAGAAAACCCATATCAATTACTAGGCTGCAAATTTTTTCCCCATTAAGAAAACATGTTATTTCCGAAAGGAAGCAACCAAGGAATTCAATCATGGTTGAATGGAAAAAATAAAAAATATTAAAAAAAAACCTTTTTCGACAGAATCAGAACTAACCCTTCGAAGAGAGTTTGCAGGCAAAATCAAAAACCAACCGCGGATCAAAAGAGGGAGCTACAATGGGGATTTCATGACGAAAATCAAAAGCAAGACTCCTTCGTAAGTCAAGTCGGGGCAGCTGGCTTCTTTGTAGCTTCACCCACTAAAGTAGAGAGAGAGAGAGAGAGACTAATAGCGAAGCAGACGGAGACTTTTCAAAAGAGTACAGAAACAAAACTCAAATTTATTATGCAAGTGGACTCCAACTTTTATCAAATAGTTCGGATCTGCGGCTGAGTGGACCCGACCCGATAGCAGGCAAATCTAAGCCTCAAAAGTCTCATAATTAAAACACGGAGATTTTTATGAACACGTAGAGGCCTGTCCGCAACGAGGTAACTCTCTCAGGGGTTTATCTGTTACAATAGAATTCCACACAGGGGGTCTATTTGCAACAATATAACTCTTTCAGGAGGCGTACGGGGTAGTAAATTCAGTATCTAGTTCCATTATTTCTATTCACCATTCTTTTTTTTAGCGACACGGCCCAATCCAACACAAAATATTAAATAATATTTAATTATATAAAATTAAGACAGGTGACAGCCGGCCACAAATTCATCTCATGAGAGAACTGAAGCGAATACATGAAAAATGGGCAGAAAACAGTTCGTATTTTCAGCGCTCGACCGCGAGTGGCGCGGCGATCGACCGTAAATGTGCACGGGATTAATTTTTCACGGTCGATCGTGATTGGTACGGCGGTCGACCAACCCTGTAATGTTTTTTCAGTCTCTATCGTTCTGTCCGGTCGACCGCACGTGTCTCTGCGGTCGACCGCGAGTCGGGTTGGGCCTGAATTTGGTTTCCTCTTCGCATTGGGTTTGTGTTTTGATATAAATTGAAACACGATTTTTTAAGGTTTCTAATCAGAGATTTGTGAGTATTCCGAATACTTTGAGAGGGATAACTTGTGAGCAAGTTGAGAGATTTGGTTTAGGGTTTGTGTGAGTGGTTTTGTGAGATTGTAGCCCTCTGTACTCTCCTTGATTTAGTGGAATCTCCTCATCCTCTCCCCGTGAACGTAGGCAAATTGCCGAACCACGTATATCTCTGTGTTTGGTTTGATTTATCGTATTTGGATTGAATTGTGCTCATGTGTGGTTGGTTCTCTTCTCCCGTGATTACAGATTCATTTGGTGTGCGAGCACACTTCCACATAAACGCGTAACAATTGATATCAGAGCACAACAAGAACTTGCGAAGCCTAGGTCTAATATTTTCATGGAATCTGCCTTGATTTTGAATGGGGTACCACGAAGCAATATTTGTTGTGAGATGTGTGACTGAGGTAATTCTGGATTAGACTAGTTAGCATATTATCGTTATTTTTTGTTGGTTTGGGGCGTGACATTTATTATCAGAGGGAACGTCTAGGTGGAGAGATTTTGCACGTAACTTCTGCTTTAAAGCCAAGTGAGCCGGAAAAAATCTCGTCCTAGATAAAAAAAAATAAAATTTCCGGAGATCTTTTAGAGTAATTTGATATACCCAGGGCCTGAACTTTCTTTTTTTCATACCCCCTCATTTTCACCAAACTCAAAAGGCTAAATTTTTGTACGAAAATTTGTTTCGCACTCGCTTTTCTATGCAGATATTTTGGAGAAAGTGAACGTCAAACTTTTGCTCAGGACGTCAAAGTTTTTTTTTTTAAAGTGCAACTTTGGGGTATTAAAGTGCAAATAACGCTTAAACGTTGTGTGCGTTCAAGTCAACTTGGTATGACTTAATCAAGCTCTTTTCAGCTGTAATGTTTGATATTTGGATCATGCTTCCCCTTACCTTTTTTGCCCAGGCTAAGAGCATCTCTATCACTCTCCAAAATCTCCATCCCTCCAAATTTGGAGAGTGAATCCTCTCCAACCACTCTCTAAATTTGGAGATGGTTCACTCTCCAAAATTGGAGAGTCGAGCTACAATTTGGAGAAGCTCTCCAAATCACTATTCAAATTTTTATTATTTATAATTTTGTCACTTTCAACTATTTAATTTCTTAAAAATTACCATGTTGTAATCATTCTTAGTAATTTAAATTAGATGTTTAATTTCAAATAAATATAGTTTATAAAATATTAATCTAATTTTTGAAAAAATTATATATTTGGAAAGGTCTCGTCGAGATCTTCAAAATGAAACTAAGATTAGTTTATTTTAATATTATTATAAAATTATAATTTTTTAAATTAAATAAATAAGTATCAGGGATGAAAATTTAAATACGGGGATCTATTTAACTTGTCCCATAAGAAAATACAAGCATAAATTATAATATTCAAACTACATTCCTTTGTTGACTCAAGCTAGAATCATGTACGGAGAAGATGTTAAAGAAAGGAAAGGAGTTCAGTTCGATCATGTTTGGACGATCCTCAAGGATGCCGAGAAATGGGTTGACCCTAAATCCAATCATGCAGCTGGGAGCATCTCTGAAGGATCAGAGTCGAACATGTAAAGTCGGCCTAATGTAACAGAGGACGTTATGAATCTCAACACGGAGACCGAAAGTTTTATGAACATGAGACATGACTAGTCTCCCACGGACAGCCCAACAAGTCAGCCTGTTGGCAGAAAGAAGGAGAAGGCAAAGAGAAAAAAGTCGGCGGCGTTTAGTTCTAAGGAGGGAATTATTAAGAGTATGCAAGAGATGGATGCTAAACGTGAAATGAGCAGGGAAAAAATGGAGCGATTGATGATAATGAAACTTGAAAAAAAATAGAATTGTGAGCTAGAGAATAGAACAACGTGACCAACAATTAGCTCTTCAGCGTGAAAATGAGGATAGACAAATTATGTTGATTGATCTAAGTAATATCGTCGATCAAAGTGAACGTGCTTACTATCAACGAAAAAATAAGAAATTATTAATAGAAAGGAATATAGAGCTCCATCATATTTTAATTGAATATGGGGATCATGATGGAACCGGCAGTGATAACGATAATGGTCTGCCGGAATTTTAATTGTCTGTTATCATATTTTATGTTTGAGGTTTATGTTTGCGACTTATGGTATGTTGTATTAGAGGTTTATGTTTGCTTCCTTGTTCTATCGATGTATGTTTTGTCACTGTTATTTCAGATTTTATTTTTTTAATATGTTGTATTGCATTATTAATATTGGGTTCATTTTAAAGCTCTCGTTGACACATTTCTAATGTTATTTTTTCCAAATAAATTATTAAAAAGAAAAATTTATTAATGTAAACTATATCCAACATTATTAATTTATATAGTTTTTTTGACAAAAAAAAAAAGAAAAATATTTAGAAAGTGTGGGTGATCGTTGGAGCAAATCTCCAAATTCCACTCTTCAAATTGGAATATTCTAATATTCCAATTTGGAGAGTGGAATTTGGAGAGTAGAGTTGGAGATGCTCTAAGCGGAAACAGAATAACTGGGCCCTGTCATCCTTGCATTTCAGTATTCCACAGACATCATCTAGGATTTGCCTATATTGATCCTGATCCTTTCGTCAATCAAAATGTCATTTTAATGATGATTTTGTTGTCCACGCATAAGATTAGTATCTGTTACTAAAACGTACGTGCTGCTTTCCCTCTCAGTTTGGCATGCATTTATGTGGAAGAAAAAAAGAATGCGGCATCTTCTCCTTTGCACTGCACTATTTTTCTCCCAGTGAATTGGAGTTGCATGTTCTTCTTTCTCATGTCCCATTGAATTCGAGTCCTCGGGAGGATATTTTGCCCGGGAAGTTCTTGAAAGCTAGAATTCGTGGAGTTACGGTTTTCGATCAGAAACTTTTTGCTGGCTTAGTTATACGGTCACAAATTCAGGGGACCGATAGAGAAGCGAGACGACAAATAACAGGTGCAAGTGCTTCAGCCCAGTTGGGATGACTGTTTCCTGATATGAGAATTTTTGAAGTTTTAGTTTCAATTGGCAGTTTGATCATCTCAATCTTGCTGCGGAATGCAGCAGGTGTTCAAAAACAACAGCGTAAACTTTCTTCGCTCCTGTCACAGCGCAAATTCGCATATTAGAGACTACATGCAGGCAGCGGTAGTTATCCACTGAAGCTGAAACTACCGACGACAATTTCCTTTAGTTTCCAAAAGATGGTGACGGATGGAATTGTTTCTGATAAACTCCACTTCAGGCTTAAAATTTTCATACTTTTCGTACTTCTGTTTTTCACTAAACCAGGTAAAGATAATGTATCATGGGATTTCTATTAGTTAATTATGCCATTGGAGTTTCCATGGTCGCTTATATTATTCATCCTTTTCCAGTTTTTGGGGCTAATATATATATGAGTCCCTATGTTTTTAAAAGATAGCACGTATATAGGCCAGATGCTCTAATGCAAAAGGCTTAAGCTCTAGCGATCATTAATATGTATGTGCGTATACTTTGAGGGTAAAGTTTTGCTTGTTCTTGCTTTTCTTTGTGTAAAATTTAAGCTAGTTTCAAGTCACATGGAATACTTCCTTGGTAAAATAAAATTATATATGTTTAATTTGATTGGTACTAGGATTAGTTTAGCTCGTTCATGGATTTTATAGATTGAAGTGAAGAAAGATTTGCTTGCCTGGTTTGAGATCACTTGCATGCGCATTGGGCGAGGACAACTTCCTTCTTGATGGAGAAGGGATTATTATTATTATTATTATTGTTTAAACTTTGATAGAATGAAGGAATCAAGGACGACGTGTTCGTATCGTTATATTTCGAAAGTTTATTTACTTCTTTGTAGGAGAGTAAACCTTAATTTCGCGACAAGAACGCACACATTTCAAGTCAATTTGAAGGTGAATTGGTTTGGAGGGAGCGTTTTCATTCTCTGTCATCAACATTTGCAGCATAATTATTGGACTTTGTTGATGAACTGGTTACATTAATGTTCAATCTTATTACACTTGCTAAGCATACACGACGCGCGTTGGAAGAGCACTTATTGTTGACAATTACTTTTGGTTTGAACTCTTTTAAGTTATGAGATCTTGATAGAACTATAATTATAGAAAAGAAAGACGTATAGTTAACTGTTATGGTGTTTTTAGTCGTCAAATTATGACCATTTGCCAGCAACGGACATGTGTCCCCCTACATGCATCGTCCAAATCGAATTGACGGTCAAGACCACCAAAAATCCTGACTTAGCCGATTCGCCGAGTCGACATCTTCTTAGATTGACTCGAAGAGCGGTACTTGTCGGTCCTCTTGTCGAAGACGACTCGCTACGAGCCCACTCGACCAGTTACTCGACACCTTGCAGGGTCGACTCAAAAGGCGTTACTTCTCGACACTCCTCACTACAAACCGAAGGACGACTTCAACCTCGAACCTCCCCTGCTGACAGCGCGTCGACGTCACATTAAATGTTTGACAGGCGCCATCATTACTCTACCCACAAAAGTCTTTATGACACATCAGACCACGTTGGCACCGGCACGCCCCCGATCTCTTCACATTAAATACTGAGGTGACACTCCTCCACTCGTCGACCGACACCTGTAAAGCAGATGCTGACGTGGACTGTCATCCCATACTCGGCTGAAATTATCATTCTACCCTTTTACCACCACTATAAATATGAGTACTATTTTCAACAATAGGATAAGCAATTTCTCAGCATTTTTCTCCACTCCACTGCACTTTAGAACTCACACAGTTCATTACTTTCGCACTCAAGTCCATCACTGACTTTATCGTCGGAGGAACAACAGGAGAACTAGTCCCTGTCCTCTTACGAGCTGCTATTTGTGCAGAGAAGCTACCCAACTCAAAACTAGATATTCGGAGAAGTTAGCGGCCCCTAATCAATATCATCCCTATTTTAGTATCTGTGTGATTATTAACATCAACAATTAACTACTTCCTTATAGGCAAAGAAAACTCAATTAGGTCAATATGTATTTTTATGTGGTTTGTTATAATAATTTTAAATTAGAAAAAATTCTTTAAACCATATGCTTTATGGTGAAATACTCTATACCTAATTAGTGGACTAAAATTAGTTCTTTAGGTTAGTATATTGTTGTTATGCTTTAGTGACACCAAAATGAACAACAAATATAAGTGAGCTTAAACATTATACTGTGTTTTTTTCTATTCTTTATTTTGTGCAAGAGGTATATAAACAAGAGCGGCAACGGAATTCTTTCCCGTGATATCCAATTTGCAGAAAAATATTGCAGCCAATAGTTGAATTATTTGACCTTTATATTTCTGCATTATGTCTGTATAACTCTTGTGTGAGCTTTACACATCTGCAATCATCCATTGGCATTTGAATTAAATTACACGCTCGTGTTTACGTTCCTTTCCTCTTTCATATTCCTTCCTCCTTGTATGTGGAAAATTTGATGTAAAAAGACAATGAAGGAAAAATTGACTTGTATTCTCTCAAAATCAATTACAATTTGAATTACGATTACAAAAGAGAGGAGAATGGATTTAATTCTCCCCTTTGTTTAAAACTGGGTTCTTCTTGGTGGCGATGGAGTGACTCCCTCTAATGCTCGCGTCGAGTTTGCTCTCCGTTGACGATCCGCACGTCTTGATTCACTGGAACGTGGTCTTCTCCTCACGATTTGACGTTGTGGAGGACTTGCGTGGCAAGTTTGAAAATAACTCTTAACGAGTTAATAACTCAGAGCGAGTTTTAGAAGGACTTGCAGAGCAAGTTTTGAAACTCTGGACAAGTTGATAACTCAGATCGAGTTCAACTCGAGTTTAACTCTGAACGAGTTTGAACTCTTGAAAAAGAGTTGATTTAACCGAAAGTCGGTTATAAGCCAAGGATGAATGCTCCAAGGACTTTGTTGCTGCAGAAAGCTCCAAGATGCCCGATCAAGGATCCCCAAAGAGCCAGCTCCAACCAGCCGAATCTCTCCTCTTTGCTGCCCAAAAAAAAGGATCCGAACTCAGTTGAGTTTCTCACTATTTATAGGGGATTTAGGGGTGTAACTGCCCCCTTAAATCTCTCCTTAATGAGGGTTTAATGGGGTGTAACTGCCCCCCCCATGAATCTCTCCATGATAGGGTAGTGATCCCCTCAAATCGTGGGGAGAAAACGGTTCTGGAACCGTTCAAATAGTGCTTGAACGAGTCAAACGCTGAAAACAACGTTCTGAGCCTTAACTCTGCGTCTAAGGCCTGAGACGCAGAGTTAAACCTTTGTCAAAGGTTTGAAACGCACAGGCCGTATGCGTTCTGGAATTGGAGACGCACAGGACGCTTGTGCGTTGAAATTCAACTCTGCATCAAGAGTTTGGGACGCATGGTTGAGTTTGTTGAAGAACGCACGTTATGTGTGCGTTTGTGCTTTAACTCTGCGTCACAGAGTTAGATGTCTGCTGGAGAACGCACAGTCCGTGTGCGTTTTGTGTTTGGGAAACGCAGAGGTGGGTTCTGCATGGACTCTGCGCTTTGAGTCCACGAACTCTGCGTTTGGACTCTGGAATGCAGCCACGACCTCTGCGTTTTGAATCTGGAACGCAGTCACGACCTCTGCGTTTTGAATCTGGAACGCAGTCACGACCTCTGCGTTTTGAATTTCAAATGAGGTCACGACCTCTGCGTTTTGAATCTCAAATGAGGTCACGACCTCTGCGTTTTGAGTTTAGAACGCGGGCATGACCTCTGCGTTTTGAATCTTGGATGCAGAGGTGAGCCTTAGGTGGGCTCGGCGAGCTTCAGGCTAAGTCTGATGTTCTGACGAAGTCCAGTCTTGCAGACGGACTTCAGAACATAACTTGCTGCGAAGAACATGTCATAACTTTCAAACCGTAAGTCAGAATTGGACGAATTATATATGAAAATCGGCTATCTCGATGAGACGGAGCCATCCGAACCAAGCCAAAGGCTTCGGTTCACTTTCTCCGTTTCGCCAAATTCCTTACGGTTTGAGAGATATCTGCGTTTTAATATGAAGAGACCGTCAATTTGTAGTCTCTTTCGCTAGAGCGTTGCAAAGATCGTCACCTTGTAACCTTCGTCTTGGCTCCTTGCAAATATGAGAGTCATCAGATTATAACTCCCGATGTTGATTGTGAAGGCTGTTGAATTAGAGCTTTCATCAGTTGTCGTGAAGGTCGTCAGATTGTAACCTTCTACGTGAAAGTCTTCAAATTGTAGCCTTCTGGAAGTCGTCAGATTGTAACTTCCATCATTGGTGTCTGATGGGGGATAAGCTATCTATTGTGATTTTTAGACAGCGTACACTCCTACATGTGATACAGATATTTGCCATTTTTCTTTTGAATGGTGATGTGCAATTATAAATTTGTTTGATCCCTTGTGATTGGGTTACATTGCAAAAGTGTGTTTATATTCTCCACCTTCCCACAATACTATGAAATGCATCTACATCCAATTTCTGTTTGTTAACTGCGAGCTTCACACGATTGCATGATCCTCTATAGCTAGATTACCCAGTACAATTGTGTCTAAAAATCATATACCAACAGGTTATCTTAACAAATCTATAGAGCAAGAAGAACACAATATGGAGAAGAATCTTCGATAAGCTCATAACTCGACATACAAATGTTCATTTTCGATCAATTATCTTCCTATTACACGAATATAACAATTTCAAGAAGACTGTTTACCTACTAAATCCTCTAGGGTAAGATTGAGCGTCTCTGACGATCCTTTAGTGACCTCCTCTCCTCTCGCGGCCAAGAAATCCTCAACACTCCCTGGCTGCCCAAACCACCCAAGCCTATCCGCAATCAAATGTACATTGTTGCATCCTCCACATCGAGCGAGAACCACACCCTTCTCGTACGATTCACGACAAACTGTCTTCACTGATCTTGTCTCGCACACCCTGCACGTGAAAATCATTGCGAGGTCGTGCCTCTCTGATGTTTTCAGGCTCGAGCTTGCTGAGAACTTGATGGAGTTGTTCACATTGGGATTGGACTCTGGAGAGTTAGGTGCAGGTTTTGTATCCTCAGCGTTTTCGTTAGTGTTGCAGAGTGGACTGTTTTGTGTTAGGATTCCTCTGAGAAATGTGGTTGATTGGAAGGGCAAGGGATATCCTGCAACGACACAATTCAATCAAAAAAGGTTTGAAACCATATAAACAACAACAACGACAACATAGCCTTTATCCCAATTTTTAGGCGCTGCCTACATCATATTTTTTCCGTTCAGTTCTATTATGGGTCTTCTCCTCTGTTAAGTTAACTAATATTTTTCCAACAAAGTTCTTTGATGTATACCTCTAGTCCTCTTTGCCCCGTTACCTATAAGACTATAATTTTATCACTTCTGTTAACTGGTGGATTCAGCGGACTTCGAGGCTGTTTGAAAGATCTTTTTTGTTTTGTTTTGTTGGGTTTTTTTTTTTTTTTTTTTTTTTGGGGGGGGGGGGGGGGGGGGGGGGGGGGGGGGTTTGGATTCCCAAACTTTTGAAAACTAGTTTACAAGCTCAAATAAATAGGCACTGCACACTCCCCAGGTGCGTGCCTGCGAAGCGCCTCGTGAGCTCATGGTGCAGGAGGCGGGGCGCACAGATGTGTATGCCACAAATAGTGGTGATTTCATCACTCCGCCGCAGGTAGCAACAGAGGCGGCAATAGCAGGTGAGTTTCTAGTGTTAATAACCTATTGCTGCTACTGCTGCTTTTTTTATGTTCTATGCATGCATCTAATAGATTAATTCACAGTTTATTATACATGATTAGGAGATAGGAATATTGAATACATTATACATTTATACATGCTTAATGAGCTATCGGCCTTGAATATTTTATTAGTAGATGTTTGAGAATTAAGAATGAAATATTTGATTGATTCTTGCTAGTTGCCACTTTGTTCACTATCCTCCATGGTGTACCGGGGGGGGCGGGGGCGGGGGGGGGGGGGGGGGGGGGGGGATTGAACGTAAACTACTCAACAACTTAGTAATTACTAATTAGCATAAGTTAACAGTATAACCTTAAAAGAAGAGTTTAGAAGAGCTATTTGTTGCGTATTTTCTTCTTTTAAAAAAGACAGTGAGCATATTTGATGATTTAAGCTAACTAGATTTTTTTAAAAAAATTTGGTTGTAGGTGATCTAATAGTGTTGCCTTGACTTTTGATTTATGGAAACTTATGAACTTCACTATGTTATTGCGTGTTAATTAAGACCTCTTTCATGATGTAATAAGCGTAATTCTATTTCTTAGTCTTTTTATGTAAAAAATTACAAATATGTTGCTTCTATGCTTGTTTGTCTTATGTTGGAAAAGATTTGTTTTGAGGTATGTGCCTCGCTTCAATGAGGAGCGCATCGTTGTGCGCCTTGCACACATTGGGCATAAGGGGACTTTGCGCCCCGCATTGTGCATCGCACCTCGTTAGCACTGAATTTCATTATAAAAGCCAAAAGCCAAAAAAAAAAAAGAAAACTAGACTTATAAGCTCCTAAAAATAAGCTCTCCCAAACACCCTCTTTATCCATCATTTCAATCGTTCTCCCATTTTGTACTCAATAGGAGCGCCCTCTAATATCCTACGGATCCATTCCTTTCTTATCCTAGCTTATACCCATTATCCCCAATCATTTTCCTTAGAGCATCTCCAAAGGATTCCTTGGATGTCCCTTAATCTAGGGGGAACTTTAAGGGAGGGGTTGGTTCTTCTCCAATGGTTCCCCCTTAAAAGTCTCATACCCCTTAATTAATTATATTTAGTTTTTTAATTTTATAGATTAGGATTTAATTAAATATGTGGTTTATTTATAAATGAATAAATAATTAAATATTAATAACTAAAAATAATTAATTAATTAATTTAAATTTACAAATTACCTTATATAATCATTAAATTAATTATTCATATTAAAATTTAACAAATAATTAATTTAGAACAAAATATTAATCAAATTGAATTAACTATACATTAACTTAATTAATCAAATTTAACAAATAATTAATTTAGAACAAAATATTAATCAAATTGAATTAACTATACATTAACTTAATTATATTATTTTAAATTAACTATACATTAACTAAATTTAATTAACTATAAATTAATACTAAAAACATATATATTAATATAAAATTATAAGGGGAAGGTTAAGGGACTTTAACCTTCCCCTTAATTTGATGAGGAAGTTAAGGGACATGGGGTGAAGGTTTTTTTTTCCGGTCCCTTGGACCACATCTCCCTTAAATCTCCCTTAATTTAGCTAAGGGGCCGGATTTTTCCGGCCCCTTGGAGATGCTCTTATACTCCTTTTTGTTTTCCCCTTCGCGCATGCTGTCTTTAAATTTCCCAACATTCTGATCGGTATATCTATCTCATAGAATTCTCCCTTCAAATTCATGGGTCTGAAACCAAATACATTTGAGAAAATCTTCATTTTCATATGAAGCTACTTCCAAAGTTATTGCCTCAATTTCATATTATATTTTGGATTTGACGATAGATACGTCAATTCCTAGTGCAAGATAAACCCCAACTGGAAATTAAATTCAGAAATAGCAGCCAAACAAAAAAAAAAACAAATTTGGTGGAAATAATAAGATTGAAAAAGATTGAAAGATTGACTGATTGATACCTCTAGGGATTCGGAGATGGGGTCCATTTCGAAATAATAGAGAGGCGAGCCGACGAGATGAGGAAGCAGCCATCGAATTTGGACTAAAATCGAACTCAAAAACTGTGTTAGGGTTTTGACAGGAGTTTATCTTTTGCAGCTTTCTAGACTTCGGGAACAAGAAGGAGCTTTAACGGTTCGGGCACGGGTCTGGTCGGATTTTTTAAATCTTTTATTGTGGTTCACGACTATGTGGTAGTGTATTTGGTAACCAAAGTGTTTCTTTTTGTAGTGTGTTTTTTTAAAAAACACCATACCATGGTGTTTATTTTTCAAACGTGTTTTCAAAACACCATTTATAGTTATTATTTATATAGTGGCGGCGGCGGTGGCGGTGGCGACGGC